CTGCCTCCTGACAGGGATGCAGTTTTCAGACTAAGACGACCAAAAAAGAAATGAGGAGAAGAAATCTCATAACCAGATGCTATTCCCAGAGGAAGACTGGTTGGGAATGTATTTGTATAAATAGGAAATAAAAATTATTTCTTCTACAAAAAGCTGCCTTTCTTAAACCATGCTATACTTAAACAACTTTTCAGCCATGTTTGAAGTCAGTTCTGTAAACATGATTGTATCTCCAGCATGAGTGGTATCTGCAAGACAAGAGGAGCAAAAGCAAGTCCTTGAGCACTTGACATACCCAGCCCAGCAAATGCTTAGCTATAAATATGTAAGTAACCTTTTGAAATTACTGAAGAATAAACTTAACTATCTACAGGATCAGATAACATGTGCAGTGGAGTACAGTAACACAGCTTTAATACGGAAGAGAGTATCTGATGATTAACTATGTAAATCATAAGTTTAATACATTTTAAATGCACCTTGTTATAATTATTTGCTGAGACATTAACAGGGGAAAGAGAGTTGTCATTCCTTATATTCCCTCTCTAGTGCAAATTTTGCCTGTTTCTAAATTAAATCCTTACTAGCCTTCTGTTGACCATGACAGACTGCTCTTCACAATGGCGTTGATCTGCAAATCCAGGATTATGCTGAAAACTGACAGACTAATCAATGGTCATTATGCCAGCACAGCAGATACCTGGCAGTAACAGAGCAACCAAGAATCCAAAGCAGACTCACAAGGATTACTGCTCATAAAACTCCTTTCTGTAAATGACAAAAGCTACTTAAAAATTCTTTTATCTCACCAATCTTCTCTTTGAAAGAAAAGGAAATGTGTAGTCAAGTGATAAAATAATGTGTTCCCATGTTTAATGATAGTGATGAAATCACACTTACAGTCTAGTTTTAGATATCTGGTTGCAGATGAGAAATTTTATTAACTGTAAAAATAAAACAGTGTAAGTTGCAGTACATTCCCCCCCACCCAGAACTCCTTTGTACAAGAGACTAAGTAGACGTAAAATTAGAACCCTGAACTAGAAACACAGGAACATGCTGTTCTTTTTCCCATCTTTTTAACCATGCTTTTGAGACATCCATTTAGCATCACAAATACTATTCCTACAATTATGTATGAACATTTGAAATGCATATGGTATTACATGCTTTTCCCTAGCCGGAAAATACTTGGAACAGTCACAAAAGTAGTATAAGTCTATGAAAAGAAACAAGAGATGAGAAGACAAGTCTATGTAAGAATAAATTTCCAAGAAAAGGCAGCCAGAAAAGATTTTGGAAACGGATTAGTGCTGCTAATGCATTTTATGTGTGGAAATCAATAAACATTTTGCAGAGTTTCGATAAAAGCTGTAAGTATAGAGAAACATCACCTTGCCAGTAACACCTAGCAGAACTCCTAACTCCAAACATGCATATGTGTTATCCTGATGAAAAATTCATAAGCACTAACCATTAGGGAAAGTGAGGAGTCATACGATCAGAAAGCTCAAAATACACCTGATGCATCTCTAAGGAGAGATAAAAATTAAAGTTGGGTGGTTTTGACAGTTCTAGGCATGTCCTTTATACTTTGCTAGCACCATAAAAAAAATACTACTTATGTATTAATATAACCTAGTTACTTACAGAGCTAGGAAAACCAAGACATTTGTCTGATGGATTTACCTTTCTTTAGATCCAAGATCATCAAAGTGTTAGTTTAGCCCAAGCATTGCAAATCAGGTTGAAGAGACCTCCTGAACCCTCTCAGCAAGCAGACTCTACCTGACAAACACGCAGTGTTCAGAAAGAACCCACTGCTCCCAGTATCTGTTGATACTCGGATACAAGATTTAAGTTCCAGGTAAACAGATAAAACATACTTATTTTGCTCCCACAACAATTTACCATTTTTAAAGGCTTTTTTTTTTTTTTTAATCAGACATGCAATCCATGTCTCTTTTTTAGAACAGAAACGCATGTCTTGAGCCGTAGGAAACTTGCAGGTCCCGCAGCCGGTACGTGCGAAGGCCTGAGAGGGATTGTTTGTGCAGTCAGTCGTGTTCACGGCAGCAGTTGTAAAGCTGAGCACATGCACGGGCAGAGGAAGGGCCGAGGCTTCAGGCTTTCTCCTTTGATCTCAGGAATGAGGCCCCCTTGTTAAAAGCCCCAGGTGGGCAGGCGAGAGCAGCGGGCGAGAGGCCGCGGAGGCAGAGCGGAGGGGGACGGGTGCCGGCGCTGCCGCCGCGTTGGAGGCAGGTCCCCGCTGCCGGCAGGCTGGGACACCGGCTCGCTCCCCAGGCTCTGCAGCACCGGGAAATCACCTTTTTCCCCCAGTATTTCGAGCTCCCTGCCCAAACCACTCGTCCTGAGATTGTGTATTAGTTCCTTTTGCAGCGGAGACGTTTCTCTGAAGCCCCCCCCCCCGTGCCTCCTGCAGCGGCCCCGCCGGGGGGGGC